TTGCTGCTTGTCATGATATTGCGTCTTCTTACCCATGAAAATGAATTCTCTATAGTTCTTCAGTACAGAACTGTATAGGAAAAGATGAAGCAGATTGGAAGGCAAGCTCAGAAAAAGGCCTGAATCCTACTGCTCTGGAGTTGGAAAGTTATCCCATAGGCCAGTGGTTTTTAATTGGGGGTGAGTTTGCACCTTCCCTCCAGCCCTCCAAGAAGCATTTGGCAATGTTTGAAGACATTTTGGCTGTCACACCTGGGGATGGAGAGAGTTGCTATTGGAATCTCCTGGGTAGAGGCCAAGGAAGATGCTAAACGTCCGATGGTGCATGAGACAGCCTTCCACGACCAAAAATTGTCCAGCCCAAATGTTGTTAATACTGAGGTCAAGACATGGGCAGTGGCTGGGGAGCCATGTTGTCAGCTTTGACTGTGTGGAGGTGGATGACCTGGTGTGATAAGGGATTGGAGTCAGAGACAATAGTTGGGAGGCCTCCCAGGAGTCTGGAGTCTGAACTAAGGTAAGGCAGTGAGGAGGAGAGGGTACACCTCAGAGAAGATTCAGGAATCAAGTTGTTCTTTATCCCTGAAAGAAAAGAGTGAGGGAGAGGGGCAGGAGGAGAAATTCACTACAACTACTGAGTTTCTGGCTGGGTGACGTAGGATATGTGGAACATACCTCAAGATGGAAAACTGGGGAAGAGAGGCTGACAGGCAAACAAGAGAATAATTTAGTTGAGTGTTTGGGCCTCCCCAACAGATGTTAATTTATTCTTTTGTTAATTAGTTATTGAGTCTCAGTTATGATCCTGGTATTATAAGCGGCAGTGGCGTCAGCTGGAAGACTCTTATGGAGCTAATGGGTGAAACAGACAATAAGCAAACAAATATATATGCATATATACACTCACTTTGATTCTTGGTGATGTAATCATCAATTAGATTATGTATTTGGTGTGTCAAGAAAAATATGAGCTGCACATACAGATATGGGAAACCAGCGTAAAGATGAGAGCTGAAACTGGAGGCGAAAACGCTGCCTAGGCAGAGTGTGACTTCCCTTCAGTGGAATCATCTCTAATGCTGTGATTTTCTCCTCCTAAGGAGATGCGTGCACCAGCATGCTCTCTATGTTTTAGATGTTGTCGACTATTACTACACTAATGCAAGGTAATAAACCACATGAAAACCATAAAGAGGGATTTGTTATGGGTTTGGGGGAGGGTTTACTTAACGCAATAGTTAAAATTGTCACTGAAGAGGTACAGCTTTGATGACAACAAAAACGGTTTTGCACCTCTGGCCAGCTGAGGATTATGCAATCTTCCCAGCACCTCTGGCCAGGTGACAAATATGAAGTCCCCCCGGCACATCTGGCCATGTGGGGTTATGAAGTCCTCCCAGCACCTCTGGCCAGGTGGGGTTATGAAGTCTTCTCAACACCACTGGACAGATGCGGTTATGAAGTCCTCCCAACACTCTGGACGGATGGGGTTACGAAGTCCCCCACACCTCTGGACGGATGGGTTACGAAGTCCCCGCACCTCTAAACGGATGGGTTACGAAGTCCCCCACACCTCTGGACGGATGGGGTTACGAAGTCCCCCACACCTCTGGACGGATGGGTTACGAAGTCCCCCACACCTCTGGACGGATGGGTTATGAAGTCACCCACACCTCTGGACGGGTGGGGTTATGAAGTCCTCCACACCTCTGGACGGATGCGGTTATGAAGT